TGGTGAAATAGCTTAACAATATTTTTAGTTATGGATAAGGCAAAAAGTTTTATTTACATGCTTTAAAAATGGTGAAAAGTTGACTTTTTTTAGCTTGCAATTTATTTAGAAAAAGTAGTGTCCGGTTTGTAGAGATAAAAAACAACGTTTCAGGACCAAAATGACTGTCCGCGTCCGGTTACGGGAGTGTCCGCTTTGCGGAGAATGTACGTAATGGTTTATTCATAGAAGATTCCCGGGGAATTAAAAATATGTCAGTATTGAGAGGCGTCCGTTTTGCAGGAGTGTCCATAACAGGAGGTTTCACTGTATATATATATATATATATATATATATTAAGCATTAAGCTGTCACTGAGATGAACCATTTTTCAATTCACGAAGTGGACAGCCGACCCAACTTTACGACACTAATATGTTCAAATAGGTAGCCTTGTAATTTTGAACCCAATCCAGAAGAAAAGGGAAACCATGGATCAAGTATTGGGAGAAATTTTGCCTTCGTGGCTGATTTTTTTGATGTAACTAATCCGCCTTTGCGTTACATGGAGAGGAAGACCTCGCGAACCTCCCACGGTTAGACTGACGGCAAGGGGACTCTAACCAATGACCCATTTCCCTTCTGAAGGTATTTCCCGTCAGCACTGTAGTCGGAATTCGCATCGACCAACCATCGCTGGGATTCGAACTCGGTTCATCTCATTGGCAGGCGAACGCTCTATTCTCAGAGCCATCGCTTCTCACGATATCTGTTTTTTTTTATATATATAACCGTCGTTGAACAGCAGACCCAATTTTGGTTTACGACTACTAATATCCAACTCCGCAGCCTTGTAATTTTGAACCAATCCGAAAGACTTGGAAACTCCAGGATCAGTACCCCCAGAGGTATAATTTGATACGAGAACATGGCGGAATTTGTGACTCGACAGATTTAACGCGCATCAATCACCATTTGCTACATGGGGAGTCTTCGGCCGGAGGGGATCGAACCCACGATCTCTTGGACATGGGCCCAGTGCCCTGCCAACTAGACTATCCCGGCCCCATGATGTTTGTTTTTTATTTTTTTTAAATTTTGTTTTATAACCGTCGTTGAACAGCAAACCCAATTTTTGGGTTTACGACTTCTAATGTTCAACTCCGTAGCTTTGTAATTCTGAATCCAATCCAGAAGACAAGGAAACTATTGGGAGAAATTCTGCCTTCGTGGAGGACTTTTTGATGGAGCTAACCCGAATTTGCGTTACATGGAGAGGAAGACCACGAGAACCTTCCACGGTTAACCTGACGGCAAGGGTACTCTAACCCAAGATCCGTCTACCACTGAGGATATTTAACGTCAGCACTGTGGTCGGTGCAAGCCGGATACGGATTCGTCTCGACCACCCATCGTTGGATTTAACCAGGTTCACCTGTTCATATCTGTTTAAAGTCAATAATAAAAGAAGTTAATTAGCATTAAAATTTTTAATGTAGAAGAAGCGGAAATGCTTCGATCGCGCAAACGAAAACGCCCGTTCTTATGACTCACCAGACATAAATTCTTCTGAGTGCTCGAAGCATGTCACATTTTTTTCCCACTTTAATAATTTTTGACCCCGATAAAATTTTCCCATTATGAAATACATTAGCTGATGTCTCCATCTCCTTTCCGCAACCCTATAGTTTTCCCGAATATCTTTATAAACTTTTTTAGTTAATATTTAAAATGGGCAAAAAATGTAAAATTATCTGGGTTTTTATAATGAAATAACTTAATATTTTATTAAGTAATATTTCATTTTATAACTGGGGTGGGGTTGCACAACCGAACCCTATTTTAAGTTTGCGCCTATGTTCAACGCCGTAGCCTTATAATTTTAAACCCAATCCAGAAAACAAGGGAACTCATGGATCAAGCTCGGCACAAAGTCTTCGTGTAGGATTTAGAATGAAACATTCCCGCATTTGCTTTACGTGGGCAGAAAAACCTCGAAAGCATCACGGTTTAGTCCAACGGTTTAGTCCAGGAAAATCTCACCCATGATTTGTCAACCATAAAGAATATTATCAGAGAGCAAAATTCTCATCTAACAGCCATTACTGGGATTCAGCCATTCTTGGTTAAATGGCAGGGGGACAAGTACTCTATGTTTTAAACCAATTTATATTGTTTGCATAAATGTTTATTATCCGGCAGAGTACCCTAACCAGTTGGATAATAAATTAAATTTTTACCGGACATCCAGGAACAGCTAGAAAAGATGTAAAATTTTTGCCGGTTTCGCGAGAACCGAAATATAAATGATGCAGTTTTTAACAATTATCGGCCAAATGAAAAGGTTTAAGAATATAAAAAGATTTCTTTTTTACATAATTTTTAACTGGAAAAGTTCAGTCTAGGAAAATTTTCATTTCCGAAAGCTTTTTACAAGTTTTCTGCCTAACAGTTTTAGTCGGATGGAAGGTCATTGATGATGTATTGCCAAATAATCTTATCAGACTAATATTGGACACAGGGATTTTGCCTTAAAAATTTGAAAAATAATTAAGGTTTAGAAACGGTTAAGACTTAATTAAACGGTTAAATTAAAACGAACTGTTTTTTTTTACCATTTTTGTGTCGCAATATATATAATTTATTTATAATTTAATTTCTGAATGCTTATGGTGTTTAGTAATCACCGTCGCATAATATTTTAAATATGAAGTCCAAGAAGTGATCAGTTTGATCTATATGGTGTTTAGTAATCATCGTCACATAACATTCTAAATATGAAGTCCAAAAAGTGACCAGTTTGATCTACATGGTGTTTAGTAATCACCGTCACATAACATTTTAAATATGAAGTCCAAAAAGTGATCAGTTTGATCTATATGGTGTTTAGTAATCATCGTCACATAACATTTTAAATATGAAGTCTAAAAAGTGATCAGTTTGATCTATATGGTGTTTAGTAATCACCGTCACATAACATTTTAAATATGAAGTCCAAAAAGTGATCAGTTTGATCTATATGGTGTTTAGTAATCATCGTCACATAATATTTTAAATATGAAGCTCAAAAAGTAATTAGTTTGATCTATATGGTGTTTATTAATCACCGTCACATAACATTTTAAATATGAAGCTCAAAAAATGATCAGTTTGGTGTTCAGTAATCACCGTCACATAACATTTTAAATATGAAGTCCAAAAAGTGATCAGTTTGATTTCTATAGTGTTTAGTAATCACCGTCACATCACATTTTAAATATGAAGTTCAAAAAGTGATCCGTTTGATCTAATCTTGCGTTCTTCTTCAATGACTTATCTGGTTGCTAAGCAATATTTTGGACATGAATAATGCTTTCAAAAAATTGGATATATTTTATTTTTGGTATGAATTCTACGAACTTATAACAGGCGGTGATTAAAATCATCGTGTAAGTCACATATTTAAGACTAAAAACTTTTATATGTCGCATATTTTAACCGAAGTGTAGTTAAAAATAAATTATGATGACAGGAAATGACTTGGACACATGCAATACAAAAATTAAAAGCTCATTAAAATATTACTAACTTTCAAATAATTTTTAAATAAACTTGAAAACACCTCTATTATTAATACGCTTAAAAATTCCAAGTTTTTATGAACTTAAACTCAAAACTTAGTCTCTAGTAAGATGAATTAACGGATATTGGCCTTAGATATGGGAATAAAAAGGTGACAAATCTTGCTCAGCGCGAAATTTAGAGCATTTTTTTTCTCTCAACATTAAGTGATTTTAACTGTGTGTCCTGTAGGAAGATCAAGTTTTTGTTTATAGGAAAACGGAATATCTTATTTATCGAAAAGGCTAATTAACGCAAACATTAAAATGAATTTTAACACAAAATAAAATAAATATTTTTCCTTCGTTGTCCCATTAAAATATCTATTAAATTCGACGCTTCATTTATATATAACTCTTTGAAGATTTATTACACTATGCAATATAAAAATTTTATTAATGAAAAGTTTTTATTTAAATTTGAAGCTGAGTTATGAAAAACTAAAAATTGAGAAAAAACAAAACAAAATCGTTTTATGTTTTGTTCTTTTTTAGCAAATAACCGTACACTGAAATAGCGTTAAACTTTAAAATAATTATAAAAATAATATTAATATACACTATTATTAAGCTTAATTCATGAAATATGAATTCAATGTCTGCTTACTTATTCAATATGTAAATAAAAAGACACTTATTACTGTTTTTTTATTTTTTTTATTTTCAGTGATATTCATTTTACATATCTAAAACAAATTGTATCATAACAATGTATTAAATTGAATTGCACATTTCGAAAAATTGTAAGACTTTCACAGCAATTATTCTTTTATGACGTCAAATTTTGTTTTCGTCCTGCAATGTTCAAATTACTGTTCTTAAAGTTCTGCAACAATATCTTTAATTAAAGTACAAATTTCGGCAGATATAAAATTTTCACGACGTTGTTATCTTCTTTGATGGCCAATTATTTTGCTGTGATATCCAAATTAAGTTCTTGAAAGATCCTTAAGAATTTATTAAATGAGGTTATACATTTGAACAGATATAGAACTTTCACATCAATGTTAACTCCTGTGATGTTCTGTTATGTTTCTGTGATGCTCAAATTACAGTTCTTATATTTTCAGCAGAATATATTCAATTAAGTTGCAAAGATTGGCAGATGTAAGACTTTTACAACCATATTATCTTTAGTGCTTTTTTTTTCTTAAATTTTTATTTTACAGCAAGCACTCTATTAATTTTTCAAATTACGATAGAAATATGATGAAAACTTTTTTTTAGATGTTTGAAGATGGTATGCTCAAAATTAAATTTTTTTTGAACAACCTGTTAAACACTCTTGACAGGAAAGCGAAACAGCCTTTCTTTTTCATTTTGTTTCCATCTTTTTCATCGCTTTCGTTGTCTTCCATGCGATCCTCCTCATCACTTCCATCTCTTAAGTAAGACTCACAAGAGTCGTATGTCCAATATCTGAAATTCAGAAGGAATATTATCGCATTACTATAAAGCTTAAGACAGTGTTTCTTCTTACATAAAATTATTGTTTAAATACAAAATTTTATAGAGTGTANCATTTCTTTTTTTTTTTTTTTTTTTTAAATTCTTATTTTACAGCAATGCACTCTATTAATATTTCAAATTACGATATAAATATGATGAAAACTTTTTTTTAGATGTTTGAAGATGGTATGCTCAAAATTTAATTTTTTTTGAACAACCTGTTAAACACTCTTGACAGGAAAGCGAAACAGCCTTTCTTTTTCATTTTGTTTCCAGCTTTTTCATCGCTTTCGCTGTCTTCTATGTAATCCTCCTCATCACTTCCATCTCTTAAGTAAGATTCACAAGAATCATATGTCCAATATCTGAAATTTAGAAGGAATATTATCGCATTACTATGAAGCTTAAGACAGTGTTTCTTCTTACATAAAATTATTGTTTAAATACAAAATTTTATAGAGTGTAAATTCTCTTGAATTATGGGTAAAATTATGAGTTCACAGGTTTTCTAACAAGACAGTTATAGAAAGTAAAGAATAAGAAAGTTTATCGAAAGTAAATTGCATCTATATTCAAATAAACTTGCTGTTCAAATAAACTAAACAATGTTTCTGTTTCATGAGCTTGTTGTAAAAATACAAAAACTGGTAGAAAGTAAATTGTCTAAAATTTCATATAAAATGTTTTAAAAATAAAACAATGTTTTTTATACAATCTTGTTTTAAAAGTACTAGCTTTGTAGTTACTAATTAGAGTTTAATTTCAGTTGAATTTTATAAAGTACTAGTTTTACGTCTTGTTTTTTAAGTTTATAACGGATAAAAAAAGTTTGATTATTAGAAATTATACGCATAAAAAATTTTAATCAAAATTTTGATTTCTTCTTATATTTGATTAAGAGTAGATATTTTGTTCTTTGTTGAAATAGTACGGTCGTACAGAATTGAAATTTTTCAAAATTTAGAGATTGTGTCTTAAAACTGAGCTTTAAATTTTTATGTTTTTGAATTCGAAAGTCTTGTTTCTTGACATTTTTAAGGAGCACGATTAATTCTTATTTTTAAGGTTGTATACGATAATTCTATAAATTAGAGTTTAAAATGAAATTTACAAAAGAAAGTTTTTGTTTTGAATAATATCAAAGCATGGATCAGATCAATTTTTATGTATCGTTGTAACTTTTAAGGATGCATTTGATTACAAATATATAATTTTTAGTCTGAGGGCGAGAAAAATAACGATGCCATCAAGAAATAAATATCACGAAAAAAAACTACAATGTTTCTCCATTACAGTAAAAATGATTTTTATTACTCATTTTAATTAAAAACACAATGCACAATTTTTATGTTTTGTATTTTTTACTTCTTTCGACAAATTAATAAAATTCTCTTAATTATCAAGTTTATAGCAAAGGCCTAAGACAAATTAATGTCTCTAGAACATTACTAATTCGGGTTATTTATAGATGTTAAAATTTTAAGTTATATCAAGATATGAAAACATATATTATGCGAATATGAACAATGATTTTTAAAAGTAAAAATTATTTTTATTACGTATTGTAATTAAAAGCACAACGTAAAATTTTTATGTATTGTATTTTCTGCTTCTCTCGACAAATTAATAAAATTCTCTTATTTATCAAGCTTATAGTAAATGCCTAAGACAAATTAATGTCTCTAGATCATATACTGATTCGAGCTANAAGCTCCTGGATCAGTACCCCCAGATGTATTGATTTGTTATGGGAACATGGAGGACTTTACGACTCGTCAGAATTTTAGCATGCATCAGTCACCAACTAAAATCAGTCATCGACCGGCGGGGTTCGAACCCACGAGCTCTCGACCATGGGCCCAGCGCCCTACCGACCAGGCTATCCCTGCCTATCTTAAAAGTATTTCTTACTCAACCAGAGAGTGGCCAATTTCTGGAAGGGTGCCACAGACAATCAAAGTGAGTTTTTTACAATGGCGTAGAAAAACTTATAGGAAAATCAACTTCGAGGGAAAAATATCTCTTTAGGAAATAGTGCATCTTTAAAATTCTTGCTCATTATTTTGGCGTGAATTTATTTGGCATTATTTCAGCTTGAGTTTCTATTAAGGAAATAATAAAATCACAATAGTGTAAAACCTGAAGTTATTCACTTAGATTAGATGCATAATTTATAAACATCTTGAAGAACCAATCCTAGTATAGTTAGTTGTTGAACCACGAATTTAAAAGCCACACCAAATACTGACAATTCAATAAATTATTTAGAATTAAATGTTTCAAGGTATGGTTTTATTTTTAACTACTCAAACTAACTGAGTGAGCCTCTAAAATTGTTCTTTACTAACGAAAAATAAGTTTGTACCTTTGTTTGCTACGTAGTACTGTTTTTTTTTTCTTAAATCCCATCTACTAAGCCATTTGTGAAAAAAAATTATGTGTAAAATTCTATTTTGTTGATATAAATACTATTTTGTTGCTTTTGGGAAGAAAACTAAAAGATTCTGTAACAGAATATAGGGTCTTTTGCAAAGATAAGATTCACCAGCACGCAAATAAATGTTGTAAGATTCGTTTATAGAAAAAAATTTTAAGCAAGTTATGTGTAGCATAAGAAATGATGTCAGTTGAATTTGCTACAATGAAGGCTAAATTTGTTGGTGACAGCGCTGCAGTAATATTTTTTTAACATAAGAAATGATGTCAGTTGAATACTTGAATTTGCTGCAATGAAGGCTAAACTTGTTGACGACAGCGCTGCAGTAATACTTTTTTAACATAAGAAATGATGTCAGTTGAATTTGCTGCAATGAAGGCTAAACTTGTTGGTGACAGCACTGCATTAATAGTTTTTATAATTTCACATTTTTTAAACGAGTTTCAATATAAATAGCCAAAAACGAAATTTAGTGTGGCAATATATCAAAACTTTATTTTACTTTAAAAATTTATATATCTATAAAATTTTAAAAAATACATGTTTTTAAATGAGAGATTTAGTTTATTTTTAAATACGATTTATTCAATTTTTATTTCAACAAATATTTTAGCTTATGATGAGGAAAGTGAAGTGGATGAGAACGATGTCGATGTAGAGTAAGTAGTGATTCTCTAAAATATCAAATTTTAACTTTTATTTTAGTTTTTTTTCTTCGTAATCTTTAAAAGGATGCTTTCGGGGCTAATCTAAAATGCAATATTTTTTTTTCCAATGACAGGCACTGAATTTTGTATCTTTGCCTATACTATGCCAGAATTGTTGCTCATTTCGCGTTACCCAGTGGGCACCTGTGAACTAAAGTCACGGAGGGGAGCAACATTGCCCACGCCACACTGCCACAAACCCGTTTTATAGGGTGGGCCACATTCACACATCATACACACACACACAACAGAGGACAGCACAAAGAGAGAGAGAGAGAGAAACATCTATGCCCAGATCGGGATTCGAACCCGCAGCCTATGGCTTCGCAGTCAAGCACGCTAACCGCTCGGCCACCTGGCCGGCCTAAAATGCAATATGTTTAAATACAAACGGAATGTACTTTGTTTGTTTGTTTTTCAGTAACTGGTCTGCTTAAAAATTTGATTCAACAGTATCAAAGAATAAAGCATCTTTTTAATTAGACCCAAATGAAATTTTTGCCCATTTTCAAAATAACGGAAAAATCTTAATTTTATAAGAAACAATAAATAGAAGAAATTTTTTGATAGATATTTTAGGACAACTATTTTNGTGTTTTATGGATGAGTCTCTAATTGAAAAAAAATCGTTAGTTTAAATACCTGTTATCCGGAATTCCATACTCGATGGAATCCTTATCATGAACTTTATCCATGCTGTACAGTTTTGCAATCATTTCCTCAGTGAAATATCTGGAGTACACCTTCTCATCACTATCACTAAAAAGAAAATGAATCATGAAATTTAAAATAGTATTTTTGCTACATGAATTTGTTATTGAAAATGATGTGTTTTGTTATTGTTTTTAGTTTTTGAAACACACATTTTATACCGATTGTTTCATGACTTCATTCATTCTTAATGGCAAATTAGATCTTTCTGATTTAATATTTTTTGGTTTTTATCCCATATTAGAACATCTTTCTTAAGTTTTGCAGATTTGTTATTATTTTTATTTTTTGAGATAACACAGAGACGTTTCAGTATTTAAAAATTCAGAATGATTTACACCAGTCCCTTTAGTGTACTATAATGATGAACATCGAATAATTATTATGCGTCATTTTAGGTAAATTTATCATAAATTTTTCTCATTATTGAGTCATTTATATTAATAAAATTTATACGACCTAAAATATAAAAGAAAAGTAAATTTCTGCTAATATCAATCGTTAAAAGAAATTCTTTAAGTTATAAGAATAATATTCAAGATATGTAAAAATTAATTTAACAATGCAAATAATTTTACCAAGAACCTTACCACGTAATTAAAGGAAATATAAATCAATATACCTTTTAATTTCATCCACCACATCTGCGTCATTCATATCATTATCTCCAACAAATTTATAATCCATCTCATTTTTAAACTCCAATATCATTTTCTCTCTAAAAAAACAACAATTCTTGTAGAGTTTTTTAAGCACTAGTTATAAATTAAGTAATGGAATCTAAAGCAAAAACGTGGTTCCTCTTAATAAAATAAACATTTCTTTCATTCAATGCATTTGGATTTTCGACTTTAAAAAAAAGCGAGGACAAGCAACTAAAAATAAGGTTCGCATTGTTTAGTCCGAAATTTCGACACTTTTGTAGCATTTTACTTTCTCTTGATTTCAATTTTTAAAATAATTTTGGAAACAATATGAAAAATAATATCTATTTAATATACCTTTCATCAAACTCATCTTCCTCTTCCTCAGACATAACCTCTGCCTCTAACTCAATCATATCCTCATCACTTTCGATGCTAGAGATGTAAAAGAAAACAATTCTTTTAATTCTAAAGTTAATAACTTCCTTTTTGTTGAAAAAGAATTTTTTTTTGAAACTGATATTTATGTAGCATGTAAGTTCAGTTGAAAATTTTCAGTTACGGACTTCGTAACAACAGTTTATAACTTCATTTAAGCAACAAGAAATTTGCTTGCTAAGAATTATGATGTTTTCTAATATTGTTTAAAAAAATGATTTCATTTTTAACGAAATGATCACTGGTATCGGTAATTTCCATATTCCTCCAGGTAGCAGAGCTTTCAGTAAAACTCAGAACAATATTTATGTAGTGTATTACATATGTAAAATATATCTAAAAGTATAACATAAAATAGTTGTCCTAAAATATCTATCAAAAAATTTCTTCCATTTATTGTTTCGAATAAAATTAAGATTTTTCCGTTATTTTGAAAATGGGCAAAAATTTCATTTGGGTCTAATTAAAAAGATGCTTTATTCTTTGATACTGTTGAATCAAATTTTTAAGCAGACCAGTTACTGAAAAAAACAAAACAAATTACATTCCGTCTGTATTTAAACATTTTGGATTTTAGATTAGCCCCGAAAGCACCCTTTTCCAGATTACGAAGAAAAAAAAACTAAAATAAAAGTTAAAATTTGATATTTCAGAGAATCACTACTTACTCTACATCGACATCGTTCTCCTCCACTTCATTTTCCTCATCATAAGCTAAAATATTAGTTGAAACAAAAATTGAATAACTCTTATTTAAAAATAAACTAAATCTCTCATTTAAAAAAATGTATTTTTTCAAAATTTTATAGATATATAAATTTTTAAAGTAAAATAAAGTCTTGATATATTGCCACACTAAATTTCGTTTTTGGCTATTTATATTGAAACTCATTTAAAAAATGTGAAATTAGAAAAACTATTAATGCAGTGCTGTCACCAACAGGTTTAGCCTTCATTGCAGTAAATTCAACTGACATCATTTCTTATGTTAAAAAAGTATTACTGCAGCGCTGTCACCAACAAATTTAGTCTTCATTGTAGCAAATTCAAGTATTCAACTGACATCATTTCTTATGTTAAAAAGTATTACTGCAGCGCTGTAACCAACAAATTTAGCCTTCATTGTAGCAAATTCAAGTATTCAACTGACATCATTTCTTATGTTAAAAAAGTATTACTGCAGCGCTGTCACCAACAAATTTAGCCTTCATTGTAGCAAATTCAAGTATAAAACTGACATCATTTCTTATGTTAAAAAAGTATTACTGCAGCGCTGTCACCAACAAACTTAGCCTTCATTGTAGCAAATTCAAGTATTCAACTGACATCATTTCTTATGCTAAAAAAATATTACTGCAGAGCTGTCACTAGCAAATTTAGCCTTCATTGTAGCAAATTAAACTGACATCATTTCTTATGCTACACATAACTTTTTTAAAAAAGGTTTCTATAAACGAATCTTACAACATTTATTTGAGTGTTGGTGAATCATATCTTTGCAAAAGACCTTATATTCTGTTACAGAATCTTTTAGTTTTCTTCCCAAAAGCAACAAAATAGTATTTATATCAACAAAATAGAATTTTACACATAATTTTTTTTCACAAATGGCTTAGTAGATGGGATTTAAGAAAAAAAAAACAGTACTACGTAGCAAACAAGGGTACAAACTTATTTTTCGTTAGTAAAGAACAATTTTAGAGGTTCACCCAGTTAGTTTAAGTAGTTAAAAATAAAACCTTATATTGAAGCATTTAATTCTGAATAATTTATTGAATTGTCAGTACTTGGTGTGGTTTTTAAATTCGTGGTTCAACAACTAACTATACTAGGATTGGTTCTTCAAGATGTTTTTAAATTATGCATCTAATCTTAGTGAATAACTTCATGTTATACACTATTGTGATTTTATTATTTCCTTAATAGAAACTCAAGCTGACCTTTTTCTGTAGCTGTTAAATTCACGGCAAAATAATGAGCAAGATTTTTAAAGATGTACAATTTCCTAAAGACGGTATTTTTTTCTAGAAGTTGATTTTCCTATAAGTTTTTCCACGCCACTGTTAAAAACTCACTTTGATAGTCTGTGGCACCCTTCCAAAAATTGGTCACTCTCTGGTTGAGTAAGAAATATTTTTAGGAAAGGTATGGATAGCCTGGTTGGTAGGGCGCTGGGCCCATGTTCGAGAGTTCGTGGGTTCGAACCCCACCGGCCGAAGACTTCCCGTGCAGTTGGTGATTGATGCACGTTAAAATTCTGTCGAGTCGCAAAGTCCTCCATGTTCCTATAACAAATCAAAACCTCTGGGGGTACTGGATTGGAGATCGATCATTCTCTGATTCAGGTCAAAATTACGATCTGTGGATGCATGAATGGATGCATGAATGGGTTCGCCTTATAAACAGGTGTGACGTATGGTGAGGCAGAAGTCGAATTCTTGGCCATAGATGGCGCCACTGAAAAAAAAGAATCGCACACTCTGCCTAAAATTTGCTCGGTTTCACCAAGCAGGCTTGCCCGTGTGGCAAGTGGCATTAGAACCAACCTACCAACCATATTTTTAGGATACTCTGTTTGAAAGTTCTATTGGTTTCATATAAAATTTATTTCAAACGCTGTTAGAGCTGATTTTATGAATTGTGACAAATGGAATCTTAAGAATTTTGTCGAAGTGTGTAAAGATGGTTTCATTACTAGTACCATTCTTCTTCTTTTTTTTCATTTTCTCATTAAGTTGTAACATTCCTGTGTTAAAAACCCAAAGTGCCAGTTTTTAACACGGTTGCCGCACTTCGGCTATCACATAATAGACTATGAAAGAGTTTTAGCATGTTTGGCCTGATTAATTTCATTTGGTTACGAGTGAAATTTACTTCAAACCTTGTTTAAATTAATTACAAAATAATAAGTAAGGAAATCTAGCTCTGTTGTACAAATATTAAAAGCAACTTTGAGTACCTCAGCTAAAGTAATGGTTATCCCAACTGTGTCATTTCTTAAAAACTAATTATTTTTTACAAAAAGGTAACATGACACTAAAGAAAATAATATTTTAGATTCAATTAAAAAATTATATTACTTTGCTGATTACGTTAGCGCTTATTGTAAAAAAAGGCAACATTTTTCTAAATAATAAAATGTTCCGTTTAATAAATCAATGATTTGGCGAATTCAATTCTATCTTTCATACTACAGTCAAATTTTAAGTTTTGGGATTAAACTTGATTTTAATATGTCTTGCTTTATCTAATAATTTCTTTCAGTGGGATTTTCTATTCCTTTCCTGTTTATAAATTGACTAACATTACCGATTTGGCAAAGGTGTACTATAGCAGTAGTGCCGATAAACTTGCCAAAATAATACCAGTCAATAAATTGTCAATATTTTATCATCATTTATATACTTCTTCACAGACATTTTTTATTTTATTTATGAAAGACATTTGAATTATAATTAAATATTAATTATTTAAATAAGGTTAAAAAATGTATGATATAAAATGTTATTTTAAATTACGAACCAACGTAAAGTAAAAAAAAAAGTATCAACTTTTTTGAAATGTTAAGAATCAATTTTATGAAAATACAAAATCAAAATTTTTTTTTAAATGTTTTCATGTCTCTAAAAACATTTTATTAATTGATTAAGTACTGTAGCGGACCTGAGAATTTTCATTGGACTATCCTTTAAGTTCAAAACTGTATCAAAATGAATATTGAAAAGTATTTTAAAATCTAAACGACAATTATAATTTACAAAATCAAAACTTTTCTCTTATATTTTTTTAAATATTCCGGAGAAACATTTATGCTGTTCACAAGTTTTAGATAATCCTTAACTGCTCTAGTCAGGTATCCAAATATATTTAAAACTACAAAAATATGAAAAATAGGATTTTGATACATACGATTAGGTCTAGGATATTTCTCCCGTTCCTTTTCCCAATTATTCAAGAGAGCAAATATGTAATATTCACTCATAGTTTCAATAAGCGCCTTTTTGAATTTTTACTCAAAAAGTAAGTAGTTAACTTGAGAAATCTCAAACAAGAATGAGAAATTAATTTTTTTAATACCTTTGTTAATGGATTTAAAAGATGTCAACAATGCTTTAAAAGCATACTCATTGTTCAAACAATGGCATAAATACAGTTTTTCATGTGCTTCTGTAACAGTGTATTAAACATAAGTATTGTTGTAAATAATTTTAGATGTATATTAAATTCTATAGTACAAAAAACAATAATAATGGTTGAAAGATTTTAAAGTATAATTAAACTATTTTATTTTTTACACGATACGTTTCATTTTAAATACGGCAGTGACGTCCTTGAAAGCATAGACAGCGAAATATATAATGGTAACCAGAAATGGGATTTCATCAAAACTAAACGATAATTTTCACCAAATCGATGTGGCCCCCTATTCTACACAACTAGAGCCGATATTATTAATCTTCTTACGATTAAGGGCATAATTCTTAAGATTTAGCATGTGTTAAACGTCAGAGGTCCTTTTAAGGGAATGTGGATCTGTTGACGTCTTGTTCTGAATTTTATTTTATTCCATAAAAGGACAAGATATTTCATCTTTAAAAATAGACTATTCAAGTCCTACCGAAGTACATTTAAACACTTGCTAATTGAAAATAAGCTACTTAATCTTTTTCGTCAAAATTATGCACAGAAGTAAAGAATTTCAGAAATAAATTATTTAACTACTAAATTGTTGGCAACAACGTTTAAAAATGATAAAAAATATAATGTCCGAGAATAATTTAATTGTAAAAGAATATAAATGTTGAAGATATATTGCAAGATGTTAGTAACTCCCCCCCCCAAGTCATAATTTTTGATATTTTTCCATTGAAGGACCAACATAATCTTGATGCTAATCATCTATAATTCCAACTTGAACCATTATATTTTTTGATGGTAACCAACATAAGTAACCATCACCCCAACGTAGTAATGCGCACTGATTGATGATGGTCCATCATATGAATAGAATTTTGTTCTGATTGTTTGTTCACGTCGAACCATCAGAAATTTCCACCACATTTTATAAAAGAAGCATAAAAACATGGTTTTGATGGTACATTCCTGCTGAAACAACAGGACTGTCCATTAAACCCTCATCGAAATGTATTATTGTACCATTATGAACCATCGCGAAATTCTATAGTATACTAGAAACCAAATGTTGTCAGGATAAAAATTTAACCCTATGTTACTAATTTAACACATAACTTACTGCTAAAGAAATGTAGAAAAGCAGGAAATCAGGCATAACTTTTTAAATAAAATTTTTTTTAAATAGTTTTTCTGACTCTTTGTTGTCAGCTAAGTTCAAAGTTTATATTTCTTGATAACAGTTTTCATCAATAAATACTGTTCCTCCATGCAGCTTTATTTAAAATTTTAAACTTTCTCATACTTTTTAAAAATTTAAATATTCAAAAACATGACACATAAAAATATGAAAATACAAGTTGACATTTTATTATTCTAAGGAAAAGTTTCAATCTGAAGCTAAGCTTTGACTTCAGTATTGCTTATTTTGTTAGAACAGAAAATAAAAATAAAAATAATGCTGTGGTCTTTATTCTGAAGGTTAATAACGTCAGTGTTTTTCGGGGTATTTTTGCTGGATAAGGGGTGGCATTCCCCAGTAGGAGGAAAACAGTCCCAAATCTCAACAATGTTATACTGGA